CTTTTAGGTGTCTAAAATATTTACAAACTCTATGAAAAGTATCCTAATTAATTCCCACTTAACGCTGACCTAAAGTAATCACATAATTTGATGTCAATTTGTTGGAACTGTCGCTTGAGAGTTGGCCATTGCGATTTGATGCGAAGGATAACTGTTGCACATGGCGGCTACATTCAATGCAAATGAAGTGGCATGAATAAGTAAACAGAAACCTGGCCATCCTAGCTATCCACTCACAAATGCAGATGAGCTAGACACACACATGCAACAATTTTTCCCCCGCCATTCAGGTGGAGACCTCATCTGCATCAAATGCGTTTCTTAAAAAAAATGTACATATATACACATTCTCATACAAAAAAATAATATTTAAAAAAAAAAAGAGAAAGTGAAATCGTGCAAAGTGTCTGTAAACATTTATTTCAAAAATTTATGAATATTGTTCTCACTCAGCAAAAAAAAAAGTGAAAGCGCGAGCGCCGACAAACAACAATTCTTAAAACCCCTTATACCTTGTCACTGCCACGCCCCCTTATATTTGTCGCCCCCCTCTGACGTAGTCCTTCCCGGCGAGTCCTTTTTCCTTTTCAGCTTTGAAATTGTTCAGGCAATGGCATTGTTTACCCGTTTTCTCCGTGTGTGTGTGTGAGTTATTGTTTCGAGACATGATATTTTTGCTGTTTTGTTATGGAATTCAACAGGGTATATATGTACATATATCCTATATATAGTGTATGTATTTCTATATATACAGAAGATCCTTGCTTATAGCTTGAGAGGGTTAAAGAGCCTTTAAGTCCTTCAAGTGTTGGCATCAAAATGTCCCATAAGTGAGATGAATTAAGGTAAACCTCTAAATAATAGGTTGACGATTTAATTTCTCTTTAAATTCAGACTAAAAGTAGGCAATAAAATATTTTAAAGGCAACATAGTTTCATCCCAGAACGAATTAATTAAGTTTTCTCCCATCACTTTAGCAATTTGTTAAAAATGTCAAAAGTTTTTCATTGCCTGAAAAGTTTGGTATTTTGCTTAATTGCTGTTAAAAAAGTATTTTTTTTTTATTTCAGCTTCTTCAATTTGTTTCTATCATTAGGAACTCTTCATTCTTTCTTTCTTTGTTTTTATTTTTTTTTTATTTATGCTGACGAAGAATCTGAATGTTGAGGAATAGTTTCCCCTTCGTGGTCCTTCCTCTTTTTTTTTCTCTTTTTTTTTCTTGTTGCGTAGCGCATTACAAATGACAGCCTCCTGTCACAGACACACACACTCACTTGTTTTGGGAAGATAGCACATCCTAACACAGGCACAGAAACCAGCATAAGGACACGTGTAGGGAGTCGTGCCATACATGGCCATTAGTGTTGTGTTTTTGTTTCTGTTTTTGTTGTTGTGTTGTTATCATGCACAAAAAAGTTGTCGTCTCTGCTTAACTTTACGTTGCCTAACTCCACTTTACTCTAAGAACTGTCAAAAAAAAACACAGAATCCATCTATAATTTCAAAGTTGAAAAGGTTTTCAACATTTCTTCTTCAACATTTTTCTTCATCCCCAAAAGTATGCAAGTTAAAACTCCTTTCACTTCAAAATTACATTTATTAGGCCACCAAAAAGTAGGCAATAATATTTATAAATTTCTTTTTTTGCAAAGTGTATCCAAAAATATTTGGTTGGAGAAAGTTTCAGTTGGTCAGGAAAATGAATTACTAGCTTAGCCCTTAACCCTCAACTCGCACCACATTTTTCACCCACATTCCTTCTGCTAGTTGTTATTTAATTATCATTTTTCATTCTTGTTTCGGGTGTGGAAAATGTTGTCATCGCACATGTTTCGAAAGCTTCAGGATTTCCTTCCAAGCCCAACGGGTCATAGGTGAGTTTCAGGGGGCTTTATATCGTTGTGGGGGCTAAGGGGATTTTTGGAGGCTTCGATTTTAAAAGAGTATGGGTGGCTTTTGTATGTTCGTGTATTTTTGGGAATCTTTTGTGCCCCCGTATGCAAATACAATTATAATTTCATATATCAATTTTGCGACAGAGTATAGAAAAATATTACCAAAAGCTGGAGTTTCACCAAAAGTGTATTTCAAAAGTAAAATAAATCCTTTCTAGGTTTTTCTTCTTTTTTAAACCGTTTCTTAGACTTTGCCTATTTTTTTAAATTTTTTGTCTTCTTTACTTCTGATTTTCCAATTTCCTTTTTAGGCCATTTTTTCATATTTTTTGTTGTATCTCTTTAATCATTTCTTAGCTTTTCATAACATTTTTTCTGTAATATTTATCCAACCCTGATTATTTATTTCTTCATGTTTTTTTCGACTCTGACCTTCAGAATTGGTTCTTTGCGTTTTAAATGAAAAAAAAACCAATCTAATTTTCTCTGAATTACAGACCGCAAATAGATCTTATACGCTTGACTCATTTTGGATTTTATTTTCCTCACGAAAGCCTACATGTCATTATGCAAATTATGGAAAATATTTGGCATAACACAGAAAAATATAAAGGAAACCCGCAGTATAAAACCGCAAACGTAAACAAAAATTTCTAATAAACAGAATCAGAGTCAGACTCAGTCTGAGAAAAAATAAAGAAGTCACTTATAAAAAATTCCACATACGCCCCATTGGCCCACTTGTAGAAAGAGATTCTTAAGCTGTATTTTTCCATTTTCCGACCAAAAATAAAACCACTCAACAGAATATCAAGTGAATAAATTGCAAAACAATAAGAACAAAAAATAAGAATATATATATTATATAACTACAGCTACGTTATATGTGTGTTTAGGGTACGCCCATTTTTGGGGCCACACCTTTCGAGGTATTGTCGAAAGGGTTTTTCCTTCTCAATTTCCCCACCGCATCCCCCCCCCTCAACACAGACTTTCTTCATCTTCGAGACTTTGGCGAACATTTTAATGAGATTTTCGAATTCCAAAGAAATTCAAAACGTTGCTTATTCAACTTTTTCTATGTGTCTCCCACTTGTTATTTTCTCTTCTCCAATGAGAACGTGTGGCACAAAAAAAGACAGCGACGTAGGCTAAGTAAGGGGTTTAACTACGGTCTTGTTAAATTAATATATATATTTTTTTAATTAAAAGAAAAATTAATAATAAAGCTATTTGTCTAAATAAGACCAGGGTTCGAGTACTCTTCAGTTAAAATTATATGTACTTTAGAGCTTATTTCTTCAATAAATTAAATATTAAACCTATTTAGTTTTATAGACTTTAAAGATTTAAATATCTATTTAGAAGCCTAAGGACTCCTTTGAGTAAATAATTTTTTTTTCATTGTTGAATAAAGTAAATAAAGTAGCTACTTATTATTATTATATATACTTGTATTTAACCCCCTTTTTGCTGATGTCCCTGTGTGGATCTGTCTTTGTCTTTGTATTTGCGGCAACAAGCAACAAGCCAAGTTAATTAGCAAAAAGCAGATAACGTCACACAAAAAAGGAGCAACCAACTAAGGCCATCTTAAGGTCTGATTGAGCACCAATGGGGTGTATGGGAATGGGTGATGGGGATGGTGGTATAGGGGCATGGCGGGATGATGAAGAAAGCCAGCCTGTGGGGTGGAAGTAAAAAAGGAAAGGGGTGCCAAGGATAAAGGGATGAAGGCCACCGAAAAGGATGATGATGGTGGCCAGAGCCTAGGCAAGGTGAGGCGGCAAGGTGGCAGAGGATGGGGAGACCTCCACTTAAGTGCGGGTTTTTGATGTCGGCGCAAATTGCAAAGAAAATGATTTATTATCTGCAAAAGGCAATTAAGTAAAATTGCTTGAAAATTATTTGCCAGCCTCCTCCAAACGCACAAAAACCAAACAGAAGCTAAAACCAAAATAAACGCCAATGACAAGTCTCTGTCCATGGCTGGGGATTTGTTTTTTGTTAAGAATTATGTTGAATGAAATGTGTTAAGCAACATTTTTGGTTGGAAATAACTCTCATAAGCCCTTAAAAAGGATATCCTTTTTATATTTTATTTTTAACATTTTATGAGGTATTTTTTATAAAGGCCATTTTACAGGCTTTTCTGCCGTCATTTTTTCCCAACAAAATTCATTTCAGAAAGCTGGAAAGTTTTGATGGTAAAAGTTCTCGTTTTTTTTTTGAACTTTTTATGAAACATTTGCTGAAACATTTTTCATTCAAAATAAAACTACAAAATTTAAAGCCCACAAAAAGGACACTTTAAATTGTCATTTTCGTACAAGTCACCTTTTCCTTTGATTTTGGTTTTCAGGTTTTTTGAGGGGAGGTTTTTTGGGGATTTTGGGGGTTTTGGGCCTCTAATTCCTTAGCTCATCCAACATGATTTATAAGTTGAATAAGCAGAAGGAGCTCAACAGGACGAACAAGAACGAATTAATTACGAATTCAAGCCCGAAAAGGTAATTAATTCACTTCATTTTCTTTTCCCCTCTGAAAAGTTGACTGCAAAACCAAAAACTCGACTCGATTTTGTTGACAGACACAAACAAACACACAACAATTTTCGTTATTTTTTGTTTTTTTTTGGTTAAATAAGCAAACATGTAACATACGTAGACATACAAGAATATTTTAAAATATTCCTTTCAAGATTTAACATCTATAATAACTTATAATTGGCCAGAGATTGGTATTCATGAATAAGTACCGTCCCTGTGTCTTTGGAATTTCAAATAAGTTTATTTCGAAGTAAAATATATAAATAACAATACCTTAATATACCTCAAGAATATTCAAAAAAACAATTTTTAAAAGAGTCGAACCCATGACCTTTAAGCTTTCACATGCACTCCCAAAACATTCAGTATTCCTCATTTATTAAATCACAGATAAATCAGAGATATATTTTCCACCACAATCCCACACACACACACACACACACACACACTCAGACACACACACACATGCAGGATACACACAAGTCTTCAGGATAACCTGGTTTTTTCAAAGGAATTCCTTGCGTCTTATTTACATTTGTCAAGCACTCGACTCACCTTTGACTTTGGTTTGTTTTTTCTCTGCCTATTTATTTGGCGCTTAATCCTCCAACTTTGGGGCTTCCTTCTTTCTCTTATTTATTTATTATTTTGTTTGCTTTGATAGCCTCCGAAAAAAATAAAAATAAAATATCGAAATACACACACTTTCACTTGATTTTTTGATGAATGGGGGTTTTCAAAATTTTTTTTGGCTTTATTTTGGCCAAAACATCTTTTGCTCCTTTCTCTTGGAATATTCAAATTTCTATTTGCTTTCTTAGCACAAAAACCAAAAAAAAAGAGTTGATTTATTCGGACAAAACTTTTGAAAAGTTTCGAAAACGAACCGATTGTGAACCGTTTACCTGCGACTTGGTGTGAACTTGAAAACAGTGACAACAATTGTGAACTGTGTACACCGAGATCCTTGAGGCTGAGGGCTTAAGAACCGAACCGCACGAGAGTCTGTTGACGAATGATTTTGAAATGCCTTTGCGACAGGACAACAAGTTGTTATGTCCTTATCAGAGCTGTTAACAGTTAACAGCGGAGAAAGCTCGCAAGAGAAAGTCATAGCTTGGGCATATTTTGGGTTCTGAACTTGGGTTTAGTCTTTGTAGATGGCGGTACTTTTGAAAAAGTTTCAAAAAATATTTATTAGACTTTAATATAAATTTAAAAAAATAATAGACTGAATAAAAAATTTTAATTTAAATTTATATTATAAATTTTCTTAATCTTATTTAAAGCAAAAATATTACTGAATTAAAAACAATGTATAAACTTTTAGATCACAGTGATTCAAAACAAAGTGAGTTTAAAAGCCACAGTGAAAAAATTTAAATAATAAGTCTCTAATTCTGAATATAAATAATAAATATGTACCAGTATCTAAGCCCCAATATCCCCACTTCCAATAACATAAATAAAACACCTTAATATACTTTTTTTTTACTTTCTTTTATTTTTTTCGTAAGAAAATTTCTCCTTATTCATCGGTCAACTTCCGTCGACTTTTCTAGCTAAAAAAAAAAAAAGAACACACTTTTTTCCAACATCCTTTCATATCATTTCTCACAGAAAAAGAATGACGATCAAAAATCAGAATCAGAATGGGTGAAATGGGAACTCAAAAGTAAAACAACAATAATGGAATCAAATCGATTTGTAATAATAGGACTAATTAAACTTTATAGTACACATGAAAGGGTTCTCTTTTGTCTTACATTTCAATTAATAAATCTCGCTTATCCACTTGATAATTTCATAATTTGCATTATTTCTTCGGTTTCTCCGATTTCTCTCTGCTCTTGTTCTTCATAATTAGTGTTTCGAGTCTTCAACAAACGAAGACTGTTTTTATATCAAAAATTCTATAGATTACTATTTTTTTTTGTGTTTTTTTTTTTTTGTTTTGGAGTATGTGCATTGGATGGTATGTTTTTTTTTCGAAATAAAATTTTCTTCTTATTTTTTTTTTTTTAGAGCTCTAAACACAATTGCGGAAATATTTTTTTAAAGACTAACAATCTCGCAATAAACGAAAAAAAAAAAAATTATGAATAGTACTTCTAGGAAATGATCGAACATGATATACAAACTAATTAATTACGAAACTGTATGCTTGCTCTCCTCCCTCCCAGGATGAAAAAAAAATGATTTTTCTGTGTTGGGCTGTTTTTTCATCATCATTGGCTACATTGGCTTCTTCTTCTGCTTCTGCTGCTGCTGTTGCTTTTGCTGTTTGTTGGTGGTGTTGGTATTGTATTGTTGTTAGCTTGCTGGGATGTGCAGTCTTGAGAGGACCTGATAACTGATCCATCTAATCATCGCCAGCCGATCGCTTGACCTTGCGCTGCTTGGGGCTCTGTTGGCTGGCAGCCTTGGGGCTGGCCTGCTTGCCGGGCTTTGGCGAGGTCTTGGGCGTCTTGGATTTGGGTGGAGATTTCTCTGTAAATGGAGATGTAAGTTATAAGTTTTATGTCTCCGATATTAAAGCGGTTTGTTGAGAAATTCGAGAGAAAGGAGCTTCTTTTCTAAAGCTCCTTCATCCCAAAACCCTCAGCCACCTATCGTTTTCCATTCTTACGCAGAGCACGGAGCGTTTCCTGGGGCACCCAGTCATAGTCGATGGTGCTGTCGTTGGCAGTTCCAGTTTCAATGACCTTCTTGGCAGCAGCACGCTTGCGCTTGCCAGAGCTGCCCAGCAGATACTGTTGGCCGATGACCAGGAGCAGGACGACAATACCCGCCAGCAGGACGTACAGGAAGAAGGTCTCGCCATCGAGTCCCTCATCGACCTCGGAAATCAGAACGGTCTCGTTGAAGACGGCCTCGTTGTACTGAATGCCATTGGCATCGCGGTAGGCCAGAGCAATGTTCAGACCGAATGGACGGCCGGCGAACTGGTCCGAGGGCAGGAAAGTGTACGACACAGTCGACTCGAAACCGGGCTTAACCTCACGGTTGTAGGCCACAGCGGAGAAGTTCTGGATGAAGTAGTTGAAGTCCATGGGATAACGGAACGAGGCCTCAACAGTCTCGATCACAAACTCCTCGGCGCCCTTGTTCGTGAAACCGATGAGGAACTCCACAGGTTTGCCGCCGGGCAGATCCAGCTGCTGGCCAGGAGTGTACAATGGCTTCGTGAAGAGTAGATATGTGTCGGCATTGGGTGAGCTGCTGCTACCAGAATCAGTATCCTCGTCCGTCTCCGCATCCTCACCAGTCACAGCGCCCTCTTCGCTGTCCACGTCCACCAGATCATCCTCAACGGGCTCAGCGGCATAAGCTCCAAACTTGTGGGCTGCAAAAAAAAATAATTCGAAAATTATTGTTTGTGATGTTTAGAAAGTTATAGACCTCCTATCGGTATGAAACTTGACATGATGACCTAGTAATGCATTATACAAATATTTGCCAAGTTTCAGATTTGTATCTTGAAAGGTTATCGAGTTACCAACAAGTGCTACGTTGTTAGTTTTGGAAATCTGATATTTTGAATGATTTTCGAGGAGATAATGCAAGGAAATCAAAGATTAAAGATTAAAACCCATTAAAATCTTTAAATTCTTTAAAAAAACTTAAAGACCATCCACACCTCAAGTAAAAGTTGAGGGATCTTCCAGCTATAACCTTGAACTATATACTTTCTAGTACTCTGATTTCAATGAATTTTTTAACACTTATTTGTAGGGCTAAAACCCACTACATTTGATTTAAAAAACTTAAAAATTTGTAAAAACCACCCACTTATAGCCCCTTGAAATCTTCTTAAAAAAAATCACGAGTATGAAAGAGAGGGGAACATATCGATGGTCGTGCCAACTCAACAGTTTTTCCATACAAACTTTGAAAATAACGTAAATTATGAATGAAATTGAACGTTGCACGATATTAATTATGATTTTTAAATGAATTTAAAAAACAAAAATCCACGTAGCAGATGCGGCAAACGTCGGCGTCGGCAGTGCCACGTATGCGTCGCCCCCGCCCCCTCTACGTCGCTCAACGACAGACAGACAGAGAGAGAGGGAGAGCACCAGCGAGACAGTGTTTGTTGTTATCCGGTAATAACTGTTAAAAGTAATTCACTATTTGAAACTTACGCGCTGAGAAAGTGGTAATTACGATGGGCAGAACCATCAGCATCAGGAACATGAGGTGTCTCATCTTGACGGCTATATAGCGCGGAAATCGGAACAATCGGAAGTCTGGGGAATCGGTACACGCACAACCGTCGCGATCGAGTGAAACTAGCAGAGTGACGAATGTCGCCGATGTAGCGGCGAAAACACAGCCGAACGAGTACGAAGTTAGTTACGACTTTCACTGTCAAATGTCTACGTGGTGCCACGTCTAGGGTTGCCAGATGGCACCAATACTGTCACTGTCACTGTCTTTAAATTGCCTATAATCCGAGTTTCCTTAGCCAATAATAAAATGATCAATAAAACAATAACTAAAATATTTGACAGCTTAGGCCTGCATCTTTAGTTTCTTTAATTAGAACAAATGTTTTCCTGAATTTATCTTTTTTTTCGAGCGCGGCAACTTCAACTGTCATAGTAGGGTTTCGAACCAAGGCAACTGTCAATTTATAACTTAATTTATTTATTTTATAAAAAAAAATTATGCTAAAAAAATAAATATTTAAGAGTGTTGTAAAAGTATTTAATAATATATATTTTTAGACCATTAAAGTTTTATTTTGTTTTTGTTGTCGTTGTTATCATTGTTATCAGTTGTCAAAAATATATATCGGTATTTGACATTGGAGCTATTAATTTAGCCGTTTAAAAAATCTTTATAGAATTGTTACATTTTTTAATACTTCATTATTTAAAAACAAAAATCTAAAAACCTATCGATTTCTAGAATTTCAAAATCACTCCCCGTACCGCCAAAGAAAAATACAATCGGGTTTCAAGCGTAGCCACATATTCGAATAAAAATAAAGAAGCCAACAATTAACAACAATTTGTTCTGGTATAAATTTAAATATATATACAGTATAAATATAAATATAGCTTGTTTTCTAGCCGTTTTTTTCTTGTCCCAGTCCCGCCCAAGAAAAATATAATCAAGTCCCAAGCGTAGCCACATTTTCGAATAAAATAATACTAGCCCGATAAAAATGTATATTTTTAAATATCTAATAAAAAATACGGGTATACATTTAAAGATTTCAATACAGCTTAAATTAATATTAGCTTATTAACCAGCTGTTTTTTTTTGTTATCGATAGTTCGATAGTACAGCCCGGCATGCGTGACGCATCGCAGCCAACTTCACGTCGCGGAACCGATAACCGCTCAACTTCCTTTTTGCTTGCGGCTGTCAATTGAAGCGCAACTTGCACGTGAATTCTCCGTACAAAACTACAAAAACATGGACAAACCAGTTGTTTGGGCTCGCGTTATGAAGGTCCTCGGCCGCACCGGCTCCCAGGGACAGTGTACCCAGGTTAAGGTGGAGTTCCTCGGAGAGCAGAACCGCCAGATCATCCGCAACGTCAAGGGACCAGTGCGCGAGGGCGACATTCTCACCCTGTTGGAGTCTGAACGTGAAGCTAGGAGACTTCGCTAGCTGGGGCAACCACCACCTCCATCGCTTGCAGTTTATTAAGAAGGTAATGAATGAACTAACACTCGCCATTCAACTCCGAACTAATTAAAAATTGCATTTTTTTTCGCAGATACCTTTGATGTAGCGTTCGCACGAGGTTGATGAAATGTTTTGGACTACTCTCCCCATCATGCAGTTCTCCTAGCCGTTAATACACTATTGAAAATACACATCTACTTCGCCAGAAATTTCGAAATGTGTTTTAAATAAATCTCAAGCCTTGGAGTGCCCCTTGAAAGTACGAAAAAAAAAACCAATCAAAGCTGTGTTTTGGTTTCATTTGTCGGAATTTTGTTTTTTTTTTTTTTCTGTGATGAGTGAACAGTGATTTGGCAATAGATTTTGCGGGAAGTTTCTTATGGATTTCTGGAATGTTCTTTTCCTAATAGTTATTATGAATTCAAAAATATATATGTATGAAAATACGAATATTGTATCTTGTGTCTTCAGTGCATTTTTGGATACAAGATTCGGAAGTTTTGTGTTGGCAGATTGGACAGATTGGAAAGCTAGTTACTGATTTCCAGGGAAATTCGTGGCCCGGAGACGTCGAAGGAATTTGAAAATCTTGCAGCTTATTTGAAGCATTATCTTCTTGATACATTTGCCAAATTGCCAAAATCATATCTGAAAAGATTACTCAAGAAAGGAAACAAAATCATAAACAATCAGAGGAAGATTGTATCTTCCCTTTTAATTAATATTATTTAAATGCTATTTTACGATTAAGAATTTGTGTCAGTCTGTTCAGTACATCTTACTGGGTTAAATTCATAGGATTTTTAGACAATCTATCCATTTTGATCAAGCCCAGACAAATTTTCATTTCGATGGTCTCGGAAAACTTATAGTCCTCCTTAAAGTCGTCGAGGAAGGGAAGTCCCTTCATAAATTTTGATCGCACCCCGTTGAGGTTGAGCTCCAGGTACTTGGCATGGTTATTCAAAGAACCGAGTATATCATTCACCCAATCGTAGAAATATTTCAATGACATCGGAACCTTTGGATCTTCCTCTCCCAGTTCGGCTAGGAAGCCGTGATACTGCTCCTCGAAGATGGCCTTATGAGTTTCCAATACAGCCAGTTGTTTCAACAACTCCATTCTAGAGGAAGATGGTTAATAAAGTAAACAATGTCCATGGGGGTTTGGTTTGAATTTCCTTACATGGCTCTGTACAGCTTGGTGAATACATCATGGCATGCGGTTAGCAGAGCATAGCATGCTGCTGGATTTTTGCTAAATTGAAAAGAATATATAAGACTTCTTTCATGGGAATATAAAATTAAGAGAGTTTACCATCTAACGGCTTGGACACGCAGGCTCAGGTCTGCAAGCACTTCGGCGTGATGGAAAATGTCGCCCTTTTCAAACGATCTATTGGCCTGATAAAGGCGAAGCTCGTTGCCCATACGGTCGAGGGTCTCCTTGAAGAGGTTCTGATACTGCTCCACACGCTCCTGTGGCAACATTTTTCGAAAATAGGCACTAGATTTTACGCACAATACGCAAATATTTTAAATTCATGTGTGCTTGCCGAATGGTGAAAGACGAGTGGTGTTGGAAAGCGTCTGACAGGGTCAGTGTTGTGGGGATTCGATTGGAAAATAATAAACAACTAAAATAAAGATACAAAGTAAATTTTGTTTCCTTAGCTAAGCTTTCGCATTAAATTTTTGATTGAAACTTGAATTTATTCTTATACATATTATTGCTTCCTGTTTATATTTATTTGATGTTTATATTTGTTTTTCATAACATACTTTTGCACATCTCTAGCTTGTCATCGTACGGTCACATTAAACAGCTGTAAGCATGTGTTCGAGCCGGAAAATTATTTAATAACATTTGATGCAACGGTCAACTTTTCCAAATTAATCACAGAAAACAGAAGGAACGATGCGACTGATACCACTGGGCGGACGGATAACGGCGATGCGCCAGCGAATCAGCGAGCGTCTGGTGTTGCCGCAACGATTCAAGGGCACCATCGTGGAGAAGTGGGTGACCTACTGGAAGAGCCTGGTGCGCGACTACACGGAGGTGGCAGTCGGCGTTGTACGCGAATCCTACGCCAAACCCAAGAAGGCCCTTGTCTATGGAACCGGCCTGTATGTGCTGTACCAGGCCGCGGCGAAAAATCCCGGTGAAGAAGCGTTCATGACGTTGTTGCGTCGAGAAACCAACAGAATGATCACTGTGGCGCCAGGACAACAGAACCCCGTCTCGGCCGAATACCTGCTGCTCCTGGAGCGGGCCATCAATCAAAATAAATTGCGGCTAATGTCGCTGGGCTTCTGTACGCTAATGTGGGTGGATCTCTACGACGAGGACGACTGCACATATCCGGCCATCTGCGAATATACCAAAGTGGGCCTGTTGAACTTCCACGAGCGGGTGATCGATGTGGGCTTCTGGAATCAGTACTGGAGGCTCAGGTGGAAGATGCGCAACTACGACGTCAACTACCTGTGATGTGGACCACATTCGGTGGACGTTGGATGTTTGTATATGATTGGAATCCAAGGCAGATCCAAGGTCATGCCACTTTAATTTACCTTAATACCAAGTTGTTCACTGTTAATGCTAATTAATTCAAAACAATATGTATGTACGTTTTTAGTCTGAGAAGAGAATATAGTTTTTACCTCTATTGATGCCAAAGATTTGGGTACATTTTCAATGTTAAAGTTTTATATTAAGATTGGAAGATGGGAAGAAGATATCCCGGTCCTGAAACTTTGCTATAAATAAGATCTTTTACTAAAATTTCTTTTAAAGTTGAAGATTTCGATTCGTATATTTATTTTATTTTAATTTTTTTTAGTTTTGTATTGTATATTGTAGCTCTGCCTATAACTTGTTAAAATTTTAATACATTTCAACATTTCTATTCACATTTAAAAATTTTTCAATTCCCGCCCAACTCCTAAGTAGTGTTTAAAACTTCCTGTATTGGAAAACTTTCAAAGTTTCCGCTGCTTCTTCTGTTCTTCCTCACTCTTTTTTTTCTTCGTTTCCACGATCCTTCGCTTTTTTTCTCAGTTTTCAAGTTATTACGCGTTTTTGCATCAGTTTAGGTTATTTTTAGAAAATCTTGGATTATTAAAGGATCTTTTACCACATTTCTTAAAAAGGGAAATAAATTAGTGCCTTGGATATGAAAATTTAAGAAGGAATAGTGCTACTTGCAAGGCCTCAATGGCCGAAGCGCAAAGAACCGTTACGTATGGTACGTATAATTATTACATAATATTCCCAATAATAATTATAGTTAATAATTTTATTTAAAAAAAAAAAGTAACTTCTAATATCACACAATGGCAACTTTATTCCAGAGGCACAAAATATTTACAATAATGTCCAGAAAATATCCAATATCGAAGGATTAGTGCCTCATAATCGGCTAAGAAGCTGTAGCTGGTTCTTGGACTTCTTCATCTTCCTGGACTTCTTCGAAAACTGGAACCACCGGCTCTAGAACTTCCGTTATGATCTTCTTTGGTCTAAACTGCGTCTCGAGCAGCTCCTGGCACTCCTGCAGCTTGGCCAGATTGTTAATCTTGCCCTGGAAGCTGCCCTCCTTGCCGTTGCCCTTTCCCTCCAGCAGTTCCATGAACTCGGGACCTAGTTTCTCCACCAGCTCAGGATCACCGCGTAAAACCAAATGTCCTTTGGCATTACTGCCGGCCGACACGGCCTCGGAAACGGTGAGGAAGTAGAAGATACCCTCGGGAGCCAGGCGAAGGAAGGTATTGATGAAGTCCACTTCGATGCCGTCACGACGATGGATGGAAAAGTGTTTGGGACGCTCCTTCTTGGGCAAGTCCTCCAGGCGCTCAGCCTCAGCGGCGGCAAAGTCCTTTAGCAGTAGTTGGAAAATCTTTCGATTCACCTTGCCATTTTGTTGGAGTTTCTGCACCAGTTCCAGATGCTGGTTAGGTCCGCCTCTGAAGAAAGTACCAAAGATTAACCAAATCTTCTTTAACTACAGAAAAATACCCACTTGAGAGCCTGGGTGAGCTGCAGTTCCCGCTGGAAAACCTCGCCCAGCTTGCGCAGGACCCTCTCACCCACCACAAAGTGCACCAGGATGTTCGACTTAACCTTCTCGGCGTACAACAGCTTGATGCACTGCAGCTGGGAGAGATTGGTGACGTGAGTGCCGCAGCACATGTTGCTCTCGATGCCCTCGATTCTCACAACGCGGGCCAGACCCTCGTGGTCCTTGGGCAGGCCCCTGGGAGCCCGGGCGTCCTGGAACTCTTGAGCTACCTCGGGATCCACAAGGATCACGCTCACATTGCGTCCCTCGCGGATGAGGTCATTGGCCTGGGTCTCAATCAGGTCCAACGATTCGCGACTTATCAGGTGCTGAGTACTCAGTTGAATGTAGGAAACACTGGAGCCCAACGACCAGGATGTGGTGTCGTATTTGAACTCGCGGTCGAAAAGAGCGGTTATCAGGTGCTGGCCGGAATGTTGCTGCATGTGATCCAGCCGGCGTGGAAAGTCCAGGACCTGCGATACCTCTGCTCCGATCTCGAATGTCTTTGGCGCCTCCACAAAGTGCACCGCCGTGGAGCCCTTCCGGATCACATTCCTCACCGGACAATCATCAAAGGTACCGTAATCACATGGCTGACCCCCGCCCTCGGGGAACAATATGGTGTCCTCACAGGTTACATTGTATCCTTTGAGATTCTTGGTTTCTCCTTTGCCATTTGTCCAATCCAAAGTCGCAAATTCGCTGCTTACTATTTTTGTTTTGAACTGATTTTTGAAAGGAATAGGTTAAATTATGTAATAGGATGATATAGAGGACTTGCCTGCTTGAGGAAGCTGTCCTCCTGGCACTTGAACACCATCCTTTCAGTCAAACCACGTCGCTCCTAGCCTTCAATTAAAAATAATAAACATTTATGAGTGCCTCCAATCAAAAAAGTTCATCTAGTGGCGGGTGTTCATTCTAGAGATGCGCGACAATACTCACGATGTATCGGATTCTTGAGGCAAGTCACTGTGATTACTCGCTAGTTTCCAATAACAGTTTATAAATAAGGAATTATTTTGGATTTATATTCTTATACTCTGGCTTATTTAAAATTATTCAAAATATTATACAGTTAACATATTGAGGTTGTCTTATTTTATAAAATTCAGGAAAGTTTTAAGTTTATATTTTGAAAATCAATTTATTACTTTGAAGCTCTTTACAACACTTTCTCGCCAAAAACATTCATAAATATTTTAATTAAATATGTTTATTTTATAAAACTATATAGTTTTAATTAATTTTCCATTTTGAAAATCACTTTTAAACTTTGGAGCTTTTTACAACACTACCTCGCCAAAAATATTTCTATAATTCCATCTCGCTCATATTGATGCTGCGTCTGCGCTCTTTTTCGCACACTCTCATTTTCTGTAAGCTCTCTTTCGTTTCATTTCTCCCGCCATTCTCAGATGTGTTCGTAAGGCTCTCCCGTTATCCTGTTATTCAGAGTTCAGAGTTATTCCCAATTGGAACTCGACGCACGGCGGAGAAAACGGCGGGGTCCTTAAAGTAAAACGTTTTTTTTTTTTAATGCTGAGCAACAACCACCTGCCGTAAATCCTGGCTAAATCGTACTCCTTATTTGGATCAGCGTCTTTGTCTTTTGTCCATGTTGTTTACCATTTACCGTTATCCGTTATCAGTTACCGTTATTCGACATTTGTTGTTGTTCTGTGCGCGAGTTCTTTCGGTTATATAAGTGAGAAATTTCGACCAGGATATAGAAACCAAAAAAAAAAAAGAAATCGTAGAAACATCTAACACCTGCCGAGAAAAAAAAATACAAAAAAAAAAAAGTAAAGCTGCGCAAAAAGTCCATAAATTACCTAAATTTCAAGCATGCTTCTGTAACATTTCCATGACAGCAAATCCCTTCCAATACCGTTAGCAAAAAAAATTATATATAATTCGTAACCTTCACTTCCTGAAAATTGCACTTACGACTAATTTGCTAGAAATAGAAAGTAGAATAAATAAATTCCATTACACTGCATTAGTTTGGATGGGTTGAAGGAGGTGAAAGGACTCCCCCCAGGACTCATCGTTGATTGATTTATTGTGTGGGAGCAGTCACGCATATCCCATAGCTGTCATAGAATGTGTGTGCCTGTGTGTGTGTGTGTCTGTCGCCTTATTATTATATTTCTTTTTATTTTTGCATGATTTGATTGATGGTTAAAATGACACAGAAAAAAATTACATATAATTATAATTGGTATATATTTTACTGATCTCTCGTACCAAGAATTTTAATGAATCTTAGTTCTATCATTATATAATATTAATTATTTAAAAAGATGAATCGTAAACCCTAAAAAAAATATATTTGTGTTTTAACATTTTGAGTTTTAACTCCAATTTTCTCCACATATTACCGACTTCTTTCAATGCATTATCCTCATCCTCAATATTTTTTTGTCAGTGTAAGCATGAGTATAATTATTAGTAATACATATGTGTGTGTATTTCACTTAACGAAAGCAGCTAACAGCACTGCGATGGCGTCTTCTACTAATGCACCGTTATCACCTGCAATTAAGCACTAACAAAAGCACAACAACAATAAAAACTAATAAACAATAAAAACAACAAAAGGAGTAAATTACTAAATAACAAAAAATAATCTGAAAGAATCAGAAAAACTTGATTGGAGAAAGCAGGAAAATGCTTTTTATTTAGCGTCCAAAAAGTATGCAACGAAAAATGGTCAACGGGATTTTAGTTACCTGAACGCAACAGTAGGTGGCGAGCCTGAAGAACTAAGCCGAGTGCGATAGAGTTGGCGATAGAAGCTTAGAGCGAAAGCGAAAGCGAACGGAAACGGAAACGGAAGTGATAGAGCACTTTTAGCCTTCCACACACAGACACATCCTTACACACACCCTACACACACAACACCCACCACGGCACTTACTTACACCTAGAATACTAAAAAATAATAATATAAATATATAATTAAAAAAAAAAAAAATAATAATCATGGCCAACACAGCTCAGTTATTGCGACGCCAAAGTTCACGGGATATAGTCCTTAAAAGCCAAAAGAGTATCGATCAATTGGAATTAAGGGTAAGCCTTTGAGATTAAAGTTAGTATACAGATATATCCTTAATCCCGACTCGATCTCTGCAGGAATTACGTGGACGTCTAGTACCCAAGGAGCATGGAGTTAGCCACCATCATCACACATCGTTGCACCACCATCAGCCACTGTATGGGGCCACCAACCAGGGCTTCATGTCCGATGCCTTCGACGAGTCCTCGGAACTCGAACAGGATCCGCCGCCTTTCGGCTCCGAGGCGAGTACTTCGAAGGCCAAGGCCGAACTGGTGGCCAATGCTTCGGCGGATCAGCAGCAGGACATTGTCGAGGGCGAGAAGGAGGGCGAAGAGCGCGAAAGTTGGGACAGCAAGATCATGTTTTTGTTGGCAACGATCGGGTAGGTTTCATTGAGTAATATCTTCCATTACAAGACTCATTTTTATTGCAACTCCCTTCTAGGTATGCTGTTGGCCTTGGCAATGTCTGGCGTTTTCCGTATTTGGCCCAAAAGAATGGCGGTGGTGCCTTTCTCGTTCCTTACTTCATAATGCTGTGCATCCAGGGTATACCCATTTTCTATCTGGAACTCGCCATCGGCCAGAGGCTGCGAAAAGGTGCCATCGGTGTATGGAGTCAAGTATCGCCCTATCTTGGTGGAATCGGTATCTCATCGGCAGTGGTTAGCTATATAGTGGCCCTGTACTACAATACGATCATTGCCTGGTGTCTGATCTACTTGCTGCATAGCTTCGAATCGCCACTACCCTGGGCGGATTGTCCCACACGATTGTACAAGAACTATACCTATGATCATGAACCGGAGTGTGTGGCCTCGTCGCCCACCCAGTTCTATTGGTATCGCACCACATTGCAGTGCTCGGAGAGTGTCGACATGCCGGAGAACTTTAACTATCACATGGCCATTGCGTTGATTGTCTCGTGGTTTCTGGTCTACATCTGTATGGTTCAGGGCATTACATCGTCCGGAAAAATAGTCTACATGACTGCCATCTTTCCCTATGTGGTTCTCATCATCTTTTTCTTCAGAGGCATTACCTTGAAAGGAGCGTCCGATGGAGTGGCTCATCTGTTCACCCCGCGTTGGGAGACCCTCTTGGATCCAGTGGTGTGGCTGGAAGCTGGTACACAAATCTTCTTCTCGTTGGGACTGGCCTTTGGCGGCCTGATTGCCTTTAGTTCATATAATCCGGCCAATAATAACTGCTACCGGGATGCTATTCTAGTTTCCCTAACAAATTGTGGAACTTCGATGTTCGCCGGTGTTGTGGTATTTTCCGTGATTGGATTCAAAGCCACGGCCACTTTTGATCGATGTACTGACGAAAGGAATAGTCTAATGGCTCAGAATAAGACCCAAAACTTGCCAGTTTGTGATTTGCAAACGGAGTTGGCTAATGTGAGTGAAAATAATCTCTATTAAGGACCTAAAAATTTTTCTTTTTTCAATTTTTCTATTCCATAGTTGTCTAGGGACTTAAAACCTTAAAGCCGATATCTAATTTATGGTTTTTGCCTTTTTGCAGAGCGCCTCGGGCACTGGCCTAGCTTTTATTATCTTCACGGAGGCCATAAATCAGTTTCCCGGCGCCCAGCTCTGGGCTGTTCTATTTTTCCTGATGCTCTTTACTCTGGGCATCGATTCGCAATTCGGAACACTGGAGGGTGTGGTTACATCGCTGGTGGACATGAAGCTATTCCCCAACCTGCCCAAGGAATACATTGTGGGAGTAAGTATTGTGGGCTTTATAGCCTTGAAAAGAAAAAAGTCCTCCTCTCTATAAATTATACAGCCTTCATGAGAAGTTACAGGTCCTTGTGTTTAATTTTCATTTAAACTTTTTTTTTTAAAGCTTTTGTCTTCAAATTACTTTCCTATCTTCGTTTTATTTGAAATTTAAGAAATTTTCTATTATTTTCTGCGGTTTAAATTGGAATAATAACACCAATATATTAATAATTAGGAAAAAATATTAAATAAAATTATTTAATATAATAGCGCCCTCCTCCTCGCTTCTCATAGGGCGCACTTAACCAAACAAGAATAATACATTAAAAATAACAAAATAATAATAATAATTTTTAAAATATTATTTGAAAGAATGGGCTCTCCTCCTCGATTCTCATAAGTTCCAGTTAAGAAGTCTAAAAAATATTGTCTGAGCACTATCAATTAAAATACCTCGATTAAACCTTTTTTTATTTTAATTAAATATTTTATTAATTTCATATTTTCCATTTTCGCCAACAGGCTCTCTGCTTCTCCTGCTGCCTGATTTCGATGTGCTTCGCCAACGGTGCTGGCAGCTATATCTTCCAATTGATGGACAGCTTCGCTGGCAATTTCCCACTACTGATCATCGCCCTGTTCGAGTGCCTCTCGATAAGCTATATTTATGGAGTGCGCCGTTTCTCGGATGACATCGAAATGATGACCGGTTCACGGCCAAGCTTCTACTGGATGTTTTGCTGGAAGTATCTGTCGCCGTGCGCCATGGTCACCATATTGCTGGCCAGCTTTTATCAGCTCTTAACCGAGGGCAGTAGTTATCCGGCCTGGATTGGTGCCAAAGGAGCTACCGAGTCCATGGAGTGGCCGCATTGGTGCATCGTCATTGCCTTCTTTCTGATACTCTCCTCGATTCTATGGATACCGATTGTGGCGGTGTTGCGGTAAAGGAAATATATATAATATTAAATATTTTTAATCGGCAATCTATTGCTATTTTTAGACTCTGCGGCATCAAGGTGGTCGAGGACTCGGATCCCGCCTGGTTCCCCGAAGCCGAGCTCAAGGAAGTCCATGGCATTGTCCCGCACGAACCTACCGAACTGGAGCGCAGCATTTTCTGCTTTAATATGGATGGAACGGAGGGCATGTGCTGCCCCAAATACGGACTACCCGAAAAATCCCTGGAGGAGGAGGAGTAATGAACCCAAGTCGGTAAACAATTTAATTATAATTCTTATTTTTTTTTTGGCCACAAACACAACGACGACAATAAAATGAATATTTTGTGGGCAACAAGAAATCCGATTCGATTGAAAAAGAAAACTACAAAATCTTTATGTAAATATGGACAATAACTAAGCACTCACCGATGTTAGGCGGCGTCGAATTAACACTTCTCCTATATGGTCCCAAAGACTGTTAACAAAAAATATTAAAAAACCACAAAAAAACAATAAGGAAAATAGCAATATTAAAGAAATTGAAAAAAAAAATAGTGAAAACTCGACGCTGGATGCGCGGTTTCATTCAAGCATAAAAAAAAGCAAAAACCATAACGAAAAAAAAAAATATCTTTAGAAATATTTCCGCATAACTTCATTAGCATGTAGCCAAAATCATAATTATATGATTGTTAATTTTCTTTGCATTTCCCCAATTCGGTTTCCATCAAAAAGGGCAGCCCAAAGAGAGAGAGTATTATATATATTTTACTTGTATATGGGGAACCATTTTAGGGGCCCAACACATATCCGATTTCGCGACTAAGCCATATTTGATTTCTTTAGCCTCAAAAAATGCAAAGAGAAATTGTAAACAACTTGCTGACTATATACGATATAACTATACAAAAAAAAAGGAATGAAAAAATATATAGATATATATACATATACATAACATTATGGAAAGCTATATTCTAGACTTAATTGTCCGGCACACAAAACCAAGTATGAAAATTATGATTTAAATAATTTATTTTGTTGTGCGCTGGCAATATACATATATTTGATTTTGGACTCGATTATATTTAAGCCAAATGAGGACTATGAGTTAAACCATATCATGCGAGCATAGGGCACCACCTATTAAGAGATTATATGAAGAATATTATATACTATATACGACCTACCACAGTTCACCTAAAAAACAAAACAAAAAAAAAACTTCTCTGTTGTGATCAGCGCTCGGCTTTCTGTGTTTATTGTTGTTATATAACGAAGGATGTAATGTTACTAGTACAAGCCACTCATATCACATCCGCAACCTATGCTTACAAATATTACAAACTTTAAAGTTTCAATGTTAAAAATAAAAATGAGAAATGAGAAGAGTATGAGAAATATTGGATAAATGCGTTATGTTTTGCTCTAATCGAAAGTTAAATTTAAAAAAAAAACAAAGTTGTTGATAAATGATCGCCATATAGCAGCTCCTCCACTCCACACATTGTACTTATGATCTACAGAATTAGTTAGAGCCAAACTGGGGTGATAGAAGCATTATACATATATATCTATCTATAGATATATGTATTTACACTTTCAGCAAACGCAACCGTTCAACTAGACAAAGCCCAAAAGGAAACTTAGGTGGAAATCTATATATATATATACATAACTGAAGAAGTCACATTTTTTATCACAGATCTGATATCATTGCAATTGCAAAACTATTATTATACATTATAAAAGAATATATATATGTATATTTATACTTGTGTATGTTGAAATGCAGTTAGCTATTGATTTCAATGTATTATAAATTCAGACTTTATTTATCGTATACTTATACATATACATCGATATATATATACATACATATATACATCTATTTAGAACGAAAGAAAACAGAAAGAAACATATTATATATACATGTATTAAGTGTTATTGATGTTGACAATAAAAAAAAACCCATACGAAACAAGTTTTAAACTAAAACGAAACAAATGAGATATAGACAACCTTCTAATCCCCACAAAAAATTAAAAAATCAAAAAAAAAAACAACCACAACCCACAGTTTGCTAAATTCCATAAATTGGGTATAATAAAAAAAAAACACACACAGAATTAAAAAAACGCATAAATATATTTACGATGAAGCAATAATTATAACTTCTGATTCTGATTGTGTCTGCAGCTCGATGAGATATATATGTATATTCCGATTATAATGATTATTTTTGCTTGCTAATGTCTCAAATGTCTCATGTGTGTACTTGATGTAAAATTCATTCATTCGTACTGATGTTGATGATGATGATGATGATGATGATACCGGTATAAAAATTAATCATAATTTACTAATGTTTAAATCGCAACTGATAAATAATAAAGAAATTCAAAACTAAAATGACAATAAAAGATATAAACATCAAATTTTGTATCTCATGTTTTTCTTTGGGTGTCAATTTTGTTTTCTCTTAATTTTATTTGTTATTTAATGGTTGTTAATTTTAAGTTTTTTTACAATCCGTTTTAATTGTCCAATAATTAGTCTTTAGTATTCTGTTTACAGTTTAGTGGAATTGTGGAAAATTCTGCCACTAATTTAAATACTTCCTAAATGATTTTTGCACCCAAAGTTCAGTGAAGCTTGGACTGTTTTTTGTCAGTAAGTACTAGTAACTGTTTTTTAAAAAAACACTGAACAAAATATTAGTTACTGGATAATATTTTATATTATTTAAGATTAGACAGGCCATAAATTGATAGGTTTTAAAAAAGGGTTCTACTCTATTTTTAGGACTTTTAGGACTCTATTAGGACTACCAAATTTTAATAGTTTTTTTGTAAGTATTATTTGTATTAATTTTTGAATAATTTTCTTGATTATATTTATTTCAGTGCATAGTGCAACGGTAATCAGCATTTGGCAACGCCTTAAGCGGCCCTTGCAATGGCTACTGCTTTGGGTTGCGATTGCGACTCCAGCAGAGCGCAACAGGCGGAAACAAACTGGCCAAGTGACCAGCAAGTAGTACCCCGATCCCCCTCCCCCCACACTTTTTTTAGAGGGGGGTTTTGGGATAAAGTGCGGCTTACCTGGCAATCGTCGTCATCGTTGTTGGACGTCTCGCTGCATCAAATTAGCGGTAAATTACAAGCTGCAATGCCTGTTGCACGTTGCATGTTGATCTGCTGCTGGTATATGTGTTGCTACTATTACTTTCTGCATACTCCAAGTGCAGTTTTACATTCCGTTGATTGCACACACAAATTTCAAGAGTTTCTGTTTCTTTCTTTCATTATTTTTCATCTTTTCTTATAATTTTTTTTTTGCATAAACAGTTGCCATAATTAAAAGCACAAATCCATCAAAACAATTGCTCATCCAGCGAAGAGGAAAGTTTTCATATACGAGTATGGTATATACTCGTTCATTTGTATTTATTTTCTTTTATTGGAAAATTTTAATATCAAAATTTAGTTTTTACATCTTTAAATCTCCAGCAAAAGCTTCATAGAACTCCATTATCAGCTTTAAGAAATTTATCAGTATTATAACTATTGTTTATTACAAAACAAACAAGAAACTAAAAAAAACTCTTTGAATTTGTGTTAGTGTTAAAAAGAGCCCACACTAAGGAAAAGGAAAGAGAAAGGTAGAAAAGTCTAGATAAAGATAGAAATAAGCTCGGCTTTAAATAAGGTGTGCACGTGTGCGTTTTGTGGTTATAAACGTATGAAGTGGCTCGAAAAAAAAGACACAAAAATGTTTATGCGACCGCCAGTGGTATGCACAGTGGTTAGAAAAGCTTATGAGGGTTTTAGAAAAATTTTTAGCACTTGTTTTTATAGAAAGTTTAAAAAAATTATTTTTAAAGGAAAAGTAATGGACGTTTTATAATTTGAAACCCTTGATAAAACTTTGAATTAATTTGCTATTGCATAAGTCAAATATTACATTTGGAAAATAAATTCAAATAACAGCACCCTTCTTCTTACTTTTCCTTTTAAAAAACCTTAAAAAAACAAATATTAAAACACAAAATGAAGATTTATTCATGTTCCAAAAATTAAGGGCCCTCCTCCTCGATTCTCATAAGTTGCAGCTAAGTAACAGAATTAACCCCATGCAAAAAATACTAAGAATTGATAAATCATTAATATAATAATAATTTTTTTAGTTTCTAATCATTTTCTCCTCTTCATAAATATCTACTTTGTTTATATTTTTATTTAAAATAAAATGTATTTAAAATTCCTTATAGAAAAACCAACTTAATTTGTTACTTCTTTTTAAACAAACTCTTAAATTTTTGTTTTGTTTAATTTCCTACAATTATAAATTAACATTTCCAAAGCTATGTAGTAACTGTAACTAATTTTTTTTTGAATTTTTTTTCCAGGTCCAATCTCAGACAAATTTAGTTGAGACTTGTTTTGATTGTCGGGGAAATTCCTGTTCCGAAGTTGAAGTCTCAATCGGCATCTGAGCCACCTAGCCGCTGCACCTGAGCTTCAAAAAAACTGAAAAGAAAAAAAAAATGAACAATAATAATAATAACAGAAACCAGTTTGAGGCCTTGCCACATTCCTTGGCCGGCAGCGCTGCCCACTGTGCCCCACAAGTTCCACTGTGCCCCAAACAATTAACTTTGGCAACAAACGAGTATAGTACTGCAGCCGACCAACAACAACAACAATGCCAACAACACAACACCAACTAAAAGCAACAATAACAATAATAACAGCATCGTAATAAGCAAGTGCCGACGTCAACAGAGACTGTGGCAGAGGCAGAGCCAGCAGCAGCGACTGAGACAGCGGCTGCGCCTGCGCACGTAAACAAATTCTCAAGCGGCGCATATTTTTGTTGTCATACCTTGACTTTTTGGGGTATTTTTGTTTTGGGAAAGCTTTTGATTAAATTATTCTCGAATTTATAGAAATTTTTAGTATATTGTGGCAATTAGGAAGTGTTTTTTGGTGTTTTTTGTTAAATATGAACCCAAGTATTTACATTTAATTATTATTATGTGAAACAATAATGGAAAATTAATATTATAGCTTTATTTAAAAGCCAAGATTAGCAAATGATTACAATTATTTTTCCATTATTATTTCCACAAAAACAGGTATTTACAGGGTATTTAAGTTTTCGTTGTTGATTTTCTAACCTTTCTTGTTTTTGTTTCAGGTAATTTTCTGTGGCTGCTGCCGCTGCTGCTGCTTTTTTGTGAGTTTCTTGAAAGCAAAAATTAAAAAACCCCACAGCTGAGTGAAGGAGACAGTCGGACTGCGTCAGAATGAGACAGAGCTAGGTGGAGCAGAAGAAGTAAGTAAAAAAAAAATAACAATCCCTGGCGAAACACGCCAACCCAGCGCGACTTTGTTGCTGCGGTTTTCAGTTGCCAGCGCGATTTTGAATGAGTTGTACGCGCGGAAAGATATTTTTTTCGAAAAAAAAAATATTTAGAAACCTCCCGAAAAAATACAACAAATAAACAAAGTTTAAAACCGCGATTTCGATGCGTGCGTGTGCAATAAAAATAATAATAAACCAAAACCCATAGGAAAATCTTCACAAAAAGTGAAAAACTGTTAACTGTTTTGGCTGATTTTTTGTTTTATTTTTCAATGTGTTTAGTTGCATTTGTCTTTGCCGCCAAATGAAATTCAAAATTTATGTGCAATAAGCGGTGAATGCAGGCCAAATAAGATACCAACAACAACAACATCAACCATTTTTTGTAATAACAACTACAAATACTGGTAAGGCGCCGCTTCCAATATTTCCAAACAAATACAACAAAAACAAATTTAAAAGAAATACCTGGGCCAACACCAGGTTCAAGTGTAACCAGTTTCCAGATTCCAAACGAAAAAAAAAAACTAAAAAGCCGCAGGCGCTCTCTGCCCAATATTTCAAGTTCCCCACTTTTCGAGAATTTCTGGAAAAAAATAACACTGATTATTCAAATGTAAATCTTGTTCTTAAAAGCAAAAGAAATTCTCTTAAAAATATACACAAAAAAAGAAGTACTTCCACTTAGAGGTACGACTTGACCTACTAAGAGTTCAAAAAACCATAGAGAGATTTTAATTTAACAAAATAAAATAATAGGAAAAGATTTTAATGAGAAGGATTCAAAAAATTAATATTGTTAAGCTTTGTATATTAAGAAATGAATATTTAGAAACAGAACTATAGTTTTTTATGTTTATTTTGTATACCATTATTTCCTGTTGCATAAATATATGAAAAACATTTCCTGGCCGCATTCCTTTCAACTAACGCCATCTAGTGGTCACATTCCTAGCTCACCTGTCACTCACCTGGCTTTGTATTTGGTTCCTTTATTTGTTTGTTTGTCATGCCTCATATTTCATATATTTTTTGTTAAAATTTTAGAGTATATCAGGGTCTATACATAATTTTGTTTGGCTTTTGGTTTATGTCGCATTCTTTTGCCGGTTCTGAGACGGCTTTTTGCGGATTCGTGTTTATCATTATTATGATTATTGTATATTTTTCTGGTTTTTTTTTTCTGCTTCTTGTTGGTTGTTGTGTTTGTTGTTGCTTTGGCAAAGCTTTTAACATTTAGTCGGCATCATCTTCGGTTTAAATGTCAAGCTCGTGTGGCTGCTTACAGGTTTTCCTCCTCAACGCAGTTCTTTTTTTGATTGTGGTTAGAGTTTATTTTTTTTTATTAAAAGCACTTGAATAAAAGGAACTATGAACTCTATATAAATTGTAATAATTATATTAAAAATTAGACTGGACTTGTTGGAAACTCAATATTTTATTTCCTTTGTTTTTTTAAAAGAACAACCCTGTATCTAAAAGAAGAATCCTGTAAAACAATAATGAAATAACTCTATAAAATACCACTCAATAGGTGAAATATTATATAAACCCTATTATTCCAATACTAATAAATTATTCTTCTTCCCGTGCAGAAATCTACATGCGGTCCTCTAACTGTAAAGCACTTGGTCAGCAGCAGCAGCAACAAGTGGAACGCACAGCAACAACAACAGCAGCAGTATTTGAGGCAGCAGCAATATCGTCAAGCGTAACTGTTGCATAAACAACAAACGACAGATATAGAGAGAACCAGATACTTTGGGGATACAGGTGGCGATAAAGATACCGAAATCTGATATATAAATGCTGTAGAACGATGGCAACAGCAACAGTAACAGCAACAGCAACAGGTAGTGCCACAAGCAATATCGCTCGACCGATGCGCGGTATTTCCATAATCATTGAATCTGCAACAGCAACATCAGAAACAGCTGCAACAACACCAACAACAACACCAACAACAACACCAACACTACCAAGTATAAGCAACAGCAATGCTGAAATGTCGCTCAAGTCTCAGGCTGGCATGTTGCTGGCATTTGGCGACAGCAACAGTAACACCAATAGCAATACAACCAAAGATAATTTGGAAACTAGTTGCAACATCGAATCGCCAAGAGCAACATCAGTAGCAGCGACAGCAACAGCAACAGCCACAGCCCCAGCAACAGCCACAGCAACTAAAATCTATCCCCAGTTGTTGCTACGGATCGGTCAGTCAAATGATAATGGAGAAAATGCAACAGCAACTGCAACAACAGAAGCAGCATCAGTAGCCACACCAGCAGCTGCAACAACTATTATCAGCTGCAATGTATTACCAGCTGACTCTGTTGATGTTGCAGCCGCGAGAGAAATTTCCAGCGGCGACATTGCAGTTGCAGCATCGACGGCAGCAACATCGCCGGATCACACGGTCAAAATTCAAATCGAGAGCCAAAACCAAAGTCATCCACGGAATCTTGGCAAGCAGATAAGTGTCGTCAAGTTGAATGACTCCGAGGCAATGATTTACCAGCAACATCAGGAGAAGCAGCAGCAACAACATCAGCAGCATCATGAGGAAGATCAACAGCATCAGCAACAACAACATGATAGTGCCGTTCAACAGCAACATTTATGCTTTTTGGTATCCAGCGGACAATATTCGCCCTGTGAGACACTGGATAGTGGCACTGGCTCCGATCTGGAGAGCGTCAAGTCCCCAGAATCGGGCAGTCAAGTGCCGAAATTGGAGTTGCATTTGAAAAACACACGACTGAAGGTTGTCGATCAGTCGGAAAAATCGCCATCGAGAGCATACAGCCTCACCGATAGCGAAGAATTGCAGGAATACGAGAGCAGCAGTTCGTCCCTCAGTTGCGATTCGTTGCATTCTACAAATTCGAATAATAATACTCATCAGGAAATCCCCGAAATTCAAGAGATTCAAGAAATTCGTGACACAATTGCCACCAAAATCGATGGAAGACCTTTGCAATACGAGGCGGATAGATTTTATAATTTCCATGTGAATGAACATGACAATTTCCGTAGTTTTGGTTCATCGAGTTCATCGGCTTCATCATCGCCGGAATATGAGTCATCTGGTGGCTTTCCGGATGTGCAGGATACGCAGCAGGATGCCTTTGTGGGCTACGGAGGAAAAGCGCCAGGAAACTCGACTATACGATCTGCCAAGGGAACGGTGAGGGGCGTCAAGAATCGTGTGCGCAATGGAGTAGCCACCTTCTTGCAACTGCAACAGCCCAATGTCAAGGTGAGTCTTTAACAAATTAGAGATTTAAGAGGCTTATAAATATAAAGCCAAAAAAAGCCATTCTTCGCAGAGAAGTTTTAGGAAAAAATCAAATAATTTTTCTTCTTTTTTTTGGAACTGTTCTGTGTTAAAAAAATTATACAAATCTATAAACTATTTCATAATCAAATTAAAATATAATTATGTCAATATCGAAGTAATTATTAAAAACATTGAAAGTGTTTAAAAAGATACTTTAATGACCAATTTTAAAGACATATTTGACCTAAAAATTATGAACAAAAAATTCCTTTTTAAAAACTTAAAAAAGATGCGTGTAAAATAGTGATTTTCAAATGACTTTTAAATTAACTAATTCGTTAAGTGCAGTTATTAAACGGCTTTTTAAAAAATGCAAGACGCTTGTTTAAAAATCAAGTAATTAAAAAATGTAAACAAAGGTTTGCAAGCCTTTATGGGTATAAAGAAATGCAAGATATTTTGTTAAAGGAATAATGTAATTAAAGTCTAGAAACAGAGACCTACAAGCTTATTTGTTGATAAATCATAGAAATTATCGACCAAGTTTCTTGTTCAAAATTGCAATGCCTTGAAGCTACTTTTTAAATATTCATTTCTATCTTGGCATATTTTTAACATTTAACTTTTTAAAATGCAAATGAACATGGGGATTGTCTATTTGTTTTATTCGAGAGTGGCAGATGATTCACATAAATACTCATTCACTGGCATGTGGGTGTTATTCATTGAGAAAGTTTTTTCATTTTCGTTATGGATTTCTTTTTTTTTTATTGTGAATGTTGTATTTTTTTTTCTTACTTTTGTTTAACTTTTGTCTTTCGCGTGGGCCAGACTTTAGGTCGCTGACTTACAGATACAGATACATCTTCACAAAAAATCTCCAAGCTACAAGATGCACTTTTTTGAGATGCACTCTGTCTGGGATTATGTAATTGTTTGTTTTGTCGGCGTGAAAGTAAATTAAAAATATGACTCGTGAAATTTTTGTAGACCAATAAATATTTGTTGTTTATTACATTAATATTTTTTTGTAAACAAAAAATTTCTTTTTCGGCCCAAAACACAATTAACACCTGTCTTGGTAAGTGGCTTAATATGTCACATGCGCCCCATGCGCCCCGTCTTAGGGCAACCTCGGTCTTTAAATGGGCAACGCCAGATCCGTGTATATATACATATAGAAACTATATAGAAAGAGAGATATTCGAGAAAGTTGACGGAAGTACAGAAATAGTCAGATAGTTGGATAGATAAGTTAGATAAATGCCGGCTTAAATGGTCCGCTACTTGACTAATTGCTAAGTGTCTTTATTTCTCTATGTCTCTATGTTTATTTAACTTTTGATTTCTATTTTTGGCCTGGCTCGGCTTTCTTTTTGGGAAAGTTCTTTTCAACAAAAACCAAATAATATAAATAACTATATATACTTGTAAAAAAAAAAATTCAAAAATATTTAGAAAGATTAAACAAGAAACCCTGACCCATATCAAGAGCCTCGAATAATTTTTCATGATTGATTTTTGCTCAGTCATCTATATCTTTCATATATCTTTTCAGTCTCTAGGCCTGTCTTCGCTTAGTGTTACATATTTTTGTACGCCTTTTTTTTGTTTTTATGTTATTTGTATTTTTTTTTGTTTCGGCTTTATGAAATCAATTTTTACACCATGGGGCGGTATCGAATTATCATTGGCAGATTGGGAAATAATATATTGACAACTATCCAATAGTCGTATCAAATTTTACTTGATTCAGGGTAACTTGAACGGTTTTTGGTTTTGTTTACTTTTGAGTTTCAAGTTCCAGTTTAGTTTATCCACCAACTTAGTTTATTTGTTCTAAATGTCCCAATCATCAATAATCTGTTTTTCAACATTTTTCCCCCACAAATCTCGAACAATCTTTTTTCTCCTAACTTTTAATGACTTTCATCACCTTGCTCTCCAACATCTTCTATACAATTGTCTAAAATTTTCCTTTTTTTATTTCCCAACTCTCAATGACTTTTTAAATTGAAATATCACTAATCTCTATTTTTAATTTGCAACATTAATGGCGAAGCTTTATTTTAAAATGGTTTTCCCAGCCATTTTATGTTTGTCATTTGTGACTTGAAATTATTTCTTTGTTTCTGGACTTTTTTTTTCGCTGGCCAAACAATTAAAAAAAGGTAATAATAGTTTTAGATTTCTTGAGGAAAATGTTTTTTAAAGTTGACTGACTTTTTTTGGTGTATTTAAGTGGGTTTGTCATCAGACCATTACACACCGATAAACTTTCATTTTCTTGCCCCCTATTAGTGTTCAAACTTTAAAGTATAGACTAACACGAATACATACAGATATATACTATGCTATTTTTTTTGTGCATTTGTATTTAAAGTCAAATTAGCTAAATGATATTTTAATGACACCACTCGAAGCCAGTTTGAAAGACTCGTCTCTGAAACAAAAGACCCGAAAAGGAATCGATGTCTGTGGTCCATAAAATATAATTTTATCTTGTCTACTCTATATATATTCGATATCTGTAGTTGTTGTTTTTTTATTGCATAATTAACGCATTAGTCGCTCTTTATTAGTATAATTTGAATGTGTGTTTCTTGAAAAATTATGCAAGCTGAAAATAATTTTTTTTGGTATCTTTCGGTTTTTTTTTTGCCAATAATTATATATTGATTTTCGGTTTCAAGGTTGCCGTTTTTTCGCTTTTTTTTCTTAGCTAATTTGACTAAGAAAAATCACAGCGAATAAAAAACGTGAATGAGTCGCCCAAGAAGTTGACATTTCAGTTTGATGGGTTTTGATTGAATGGTGAATGAATAATGAATGAATACTCATCATGGGGTCATCGCAGATGATTGAAAGGAAGCCAATGTCTGCGATTATTTTTTTGTCTGATAGTTGAATTTTAATTAAATTTGCAAAAAGGTTGCCGAAATCTCTGAATTGCATTTTAAATCAAAAGTTGACCTTTAAAAGTTGCGGGGATTTGTGTTAAAAAGTTGGGAAATGGGTTTTAAAGCCTATAAGTTACTAGTAAACCTTCTACTTGTTCATGTCTAAGCCAATTTTTTTGAAATAGGAAAACTTTAATAACCAATAATTGAAGTTGAATAGTTTAATTATATCCTGAAACCTGAAACTTATTTTATTTGAGTTTGTTTTTCTAAAAACCTTACAAAAAAATACAATAAAAGCACCTAATTTGTTATATTTTTCTCAAATTTTCTCCTTCAAAAACCCTTTATATTTACACTCTTTTGAGACACGCTGGAAAAAAAGTCCCCCAACGAAAGTGAAAATGAAAACGAAAATTTACGTGACCGGCCTGCAGATTTATGGAATTTTTTTCCTCCCAGTCTTCAAGCTCCTGTGTCTGTGCATTGTTTCATGAGCGGTAATGCCAGCAAACAAAAAACGAGAGTACAATAAATAAAAAGTACACACATTTCTGGGCAAACAATTAAGCAACAAAAAATACGAGAGAAAAAAAGGAGACTACAAGATAGAGATATTCAAGGGGCGTTAGCTGCATTTTAATTTCAATTTGCATTCAGGGCCAAAAGAAAGCCGCGAGAGCCGTGGCGGCTCTGAAATGGACTTATTAAAATATCCAATTATTGCCAAATTGAAGCTCGTTCAGGGCAAACTCGGAAAAAAAAAACAGAAAAAAGCTGAAAAAATAAAACCAAGAAACCAAACAAAACGAAAGTGAAATGTTGCCACCAATCGACGCTCCACGAACGTGTGTGAATTTATGCAAAAAGTTGGGCATATCGGGTGGATCGGTTAATATATATTTGTTCGCACACACCTGAGTGTATGCATAGTTGGGGTGTGAGAACCCACTTGCAGACAGACCTTGGAGCTACCCTAGCCACAAAAAAAAATGAAAGAAAAACATAATAAGTGCCAACAATCGCTTTTTCAAAAATCGATGAAAGTTTGAGCCCCAAGAGCATATAGTACAGTGCGTTTTATCAGTATAACTAGTATTTTTTGAATTTTATAAATTATTTCTTCTTCAGAAATTTTTGTGATAAGCTTTCAATTCAATTAAAAAAATTAAAATTTGAATCCCAAATCCTTAAGTAATCCAACTTCGTTAGTTTTTTTAGGCCTTTATTTCAGAGTTTTTGAACAAGATTTTCGATGTAAGCACAAAATCAAAACAAAAATGTGGCCAAAAATATATTCCCATGAATATGCGGCTCTGCCCTTAAAATAAAAAAGAAATATGCAAGAAAAGAAGAAAAAAAGAGCCGATCGATTGGAATCGAAAAACGCACTTTCTGTGTCCGTCTGGAAACAAAAGTTTACGTAACTTTATCGAATCGCCAGTGTGACGTATTAATTGAGTTTTTTCTCAGCTGTTTTTTTTTCGGTTTTTATATATTTTTTGGTTGAAAAACTTTTAGCTCCCTTTGGATGGCCAAACAGATCAAAAGTTAGCGATTGCCAATCCAAAAAATCCAAAAAAAAAAAATCCGAAGAAAAAGAAATATCCCCACCTTAGCAAGTGACCTGCTTTCTCTTCTCGAAGCTCTCAAGAAATTGTTGAAGATCTTTCTCAGATTTTTTTCGGATGCTTAAAAATATATATAAAAAAAAAACTCTTTTTCAAAGGTTCTGTTTGTATGTCACTTTGGCCTGAGAGGTTAACAGTTCAAAGCCATGAGTGGCTTCATCTTCATATTCATATATGTATGTATTCATTTTTCTTGATGGCTTTGAACTTTCATGAGACGACAAATGAGCCGCATTTAGTTGACGCTTAATGGCAATTATTAATGTACCAGTTTACCAGCTTTACATTTGTTTACCGACGTTATGTTTGGTTATTATATGCCATATATTAAATAACCAGCCATCCAGCCAACCACCCGAGGCGATGCTGCAGCTTCAATCTTGCCACCTGCAACCAGCAACCTGCCACCTGTAAGCCCAAAACCAAAAAAGACTGAAAAACCAAAACTGAAATTGCCTTGAGAGCTTATGCAAGTGCAATGAGCCGCAAGAGGCTGGAAGTATTTCTTTTTACTTATGTGAAGTGTTAAATACTCTATAGAAATTATTGGCTGTAAATAAAACAAAAATATTAAATATTTTACAAAATAAATTTCAAACTTCTTTTAAGGATTTTCTATATTGCTTTTGTAGAACATATTTTAGATTGTATTATTATTTGTAAAAAACTCATAAAAACGTCATTAATCAACAACTATATTTTTTTAACTTGCTTATAAGTTGCAATGCAATATCCTTAAAATCATCAAATTCAATAGCCTCATAAAAATAGTATTAATGGATTTTTAAATTAAAATTGATGAGGTTATTAATTAGGATGCTTGTTGGTTTTTCTTTTTTCTTTAACTAAGCAAATAACTGAAGCAAAGTTTCGGTTTCAAACTCATAAATCTCTATAAGCAATGTCCTGCTCTATTAATTTATGTTTGTGATACTATTAAATCATTGGAAATTTCGACAGAGACTGGAGGGGAAAACTAGTCTATGAGGAGGCTGACTATTGAATATCAGATGTATTTCAAATATCGAGTGACTCAAAAAGATCGAGTATCCAACATCGGATATAGCGATACAATTTTTTTTATTTCACTTCACTTTTTTTTCAGGTTAATCAGGCTGACTAACGGAAGAGATCCCCCCTTTCTATCTATCTGTTTATTTTTTTTTTTTTTTTAACAAACTAGTCCATCGATGTGGAAATTGTGGAAAATATTTTCACTTTGAACGATGCGGTTTGGACATTCATTTACCATTTACACAAATTAGCAATTCGTAATTTTCAATTTGATTTGGATGCGATATTTTGCGTGTTATTTTTATCGTTTTTTAATCGCTTTTTTATCGATTTTTTGCATGTCTGTTGTGGATCAATGAACAGGCTTTGTAGAACCAGTTACAGAAAGAGAACTCTCTGTGTATAATGTTGCCTGATTTAAGAAAAGAAAATAATTGATTGTTAATTGGTTTGGCAAAAAATGAAAACAAAAAAAATACATAAAAAATAATATGCCGAGACCGAGTTTCATTTAACAAGTAACTGGCTTTGTCGAAATTGTTAGCCTGCTAATTGCCGGCAATTTGTGGCCACAAAATATTTCAATGTGTGACTCAAGAGTTTATTTTTTTCCGTCCCACCCTCATTTTGTTAATTATTTTATCAAGGTTTTACATATCTCGTTTAAGGTTAAAACAAAGGCGGTTTGGGCCAGGGTTTAGGCCAAAAACAAATGGTGTTGGCTGAAGATGCCCTCAATTTATTAGCCATGCTACAAAGTTGGCCTAATTTTAAGATTTCTAAAGGTGTATTTCAAGAGGGAAATATTCTTAAAATATTTAAACTTATTCTTATATTTTCTTTCTTATGTTTGTTTTGTTTTAGAACTATTTGGAAAAAGATATGGGAAAAGTAGTTTTGTATACAACCAGTATGGGAATTATCCGAGACACTTATGCCAAGTGTGCCAATGTCAAGCAAATACTGAGAACTCTGCTAATTAAATTCGAAGAAAGAGACGTCTTTATGAGTGTAGAATATCAACAGGAAATGAGGGAAAGAATGCACGATGAGACCATTAGAGTGCCCCAACTCTTTGTCGAGGGTCAGCATTTGGGGGTAAGTATTTAAAAATAATCAAATTATATATTTTTCTAATAATTATATATTTCTTTACAGGATGCCGATGTTGTGGAGCGGTTGAATGAAAGTGGAGAATTGCGACAGCTGCTGAAGCCTTATAAGGTGAGTTTGGTTAATGATACCCGGTACTTTAGTTCAGATTCTTAGAAAAGGCACTTCTTAAAGAGTTGCCTATTAAAAGAGGCTTACAAAAATAATTACCTAAAGTTTTATAAAAAAGAAAGAATTTCAAAAATTATTATTTCTATCTAAATATCTATTTTTCTAGTCAATTGCCACGGCGTATACGTGCCAGACCTGCGGAGGATATAGACTACTGCCGTGTCCTTCCTGCAGCGGATCAAAGAAGTCAGTGCATCGGAATCACTTTACGGCGGAATTTGTGGCCCTCAAGTGCATGAATTGCGATGAAGTTGGTCTCGTCAAATGCCCGAATTGCTGAGGGCTAGTCTACAAAAACAAAAAAACCAGAAAAAACCATAGTCCCTCAGTGTCTTCCACGAAAAAACCCCAACCTCACCATATAATATTTGTAATTGTAGTGTGTGTTTTTTTTTTAATATCTATATTGAAATGACTTTTTTTTGTGCGCAATTTTTGTAGTCGCTATTTAACAGTTGTGATATTTGAGAGCAGTTTTTGGGCCGGAAGTGGAGGCTCGTAGAAGTGCAACGAAACGGAAAAGAATTGGAATGGAACAGAAGTTACCATAAGAACGAAATATAACAGACACAAAAAATAAATAAAACTATATCATTATGTGAATCGAAGAGATATCCAATAAAAACTATAAATAATTAACTCATATCTTAAGTTCTTTGATAGTATACTTTTGGGTGAAAGCTTTAGAGGAATTGGCCTTAAAGAAATATGATGTAGCTTGGTTTTGGGAGGTTTTCTTGTAAAAAGCAAAAGGATTCGTATCATGAATTTGTATGATTGTATAATTTTCCAACTTAGTAGTCTTTTGTTTTTGAAAAATTAAATGAAAACCATTAATCTGGATCAAGTATTCTTTGCTTTTTAAATCCAGTCGTATTCCTTACTTCAGCAGGCATTTAGGTCAGTGTCGTTTTAGTATTCGTTCGGTTCGTAGTGAGTTCGTTGTGTGGCTTCTGTCCTCTATTTCTCGTCAAATAAAAAAATCTATAGAAAAAAAATTATAGAGAAATTTGACTGATAAACTGAAAAACGAAATAAAATTTCGATCGGGCAGTAAAAGCTAAAAGCTCCTTAGTGACTACGCCATATACGCCAAATAGCATAACGAATCTCAACTTTTAAAATTTTGTCATCGTGTCAATAATTGTCAAGCCGGCAAATATATATATAATTATTTTTCTATATATATATTTTAAAAAAATCTCCCTCACGAGTAGTTGATAGATTTAGTCCCCCGAATTCTGATTAGTAGAGAACTCAAGCCCCGACTCTATTTTCAACTCAGCCCCGATGGACGCGTCGGGGCTTGAGTTGTACTACCGTCAGCAACTCCAGGTAGAAATTACAAATCACGATGTGCAACAACAGGCAGTACAACAACAGCATCAACAATTACAACCACAAGAACAACAAGAGCTACTAGAAGAACAACGACGACAATATCACGAAGTATCACAACAATATCAAGTGAGTATTGAACAAGAAATGCCGGGAGTACATAACCCCATGAATGGTGGGCAAACGGATCCGGAGAAATGCTGCTGGATATGTTTTGCCACCGAGGAGGATAATCGTCAGGCTGAATGGGTTAGGCCGTGCCAGTGCCGTGGCTCTACCAAATGGGTCCATCAAAGTTGCCTCTATCGCTGGATTGACGAGAAGCAGATGGGCAATCATCGCCGATCAGTCATGTGCCAGCAGTGCCAGACAGAGTATATCATTGTGTTTCCGGAAGTGGGACTCCTTGCCGGAGCGCTCGAACGGATCGATTTGACGGTGAGAAAGACCAGTCCATATCTGGCAGCGGGCATATTCACGGGCTCAGCTTACTGGACCGCCATTACTTTTGGAGCGATTACTGTAGTACAGGTGAGTACAGTACCTTAGTGGTACCATCCATTAAAAATATTTATTTATAATTATAATATATAATCCTCTCATCGGCTTTAGGTCATGGGCCAAAAACGCGGCATGGAACTCATGGAGTATGGTGATCCTTTCATGTTGCTTGTGGGTCTGCCCTTTATCCCAGTGGCCCTTGTTCTCTTCCGATTCATTCGCTGGCAGGATGCTGCCCTGCGTATCCTGCGCAGTCGCTACAATATACTTCACAAGTTGCCGTTCTTCAAATGGATCGTTGAGCCGGATCAGTCGCGTCAAGGATCGGGCGCTAGCAACATCAGTCTGCCGCCACTGCCCCCCACTCCGGCCGTATCCGAGCCACTATACATCTCGAGATTGTTTTGCGGGGCCGTACTGCTGCCCACATTTGCCACCATGACTGGAAATTTATTCTTCAATGTAGGGAATAACTTAACACCTGAATGAAAGATACTAAACATATTTCTTTATTTTCAGAGCCTACAGGATCCCCTTTACCGCACTTTGGTCGGAGGAATAGCTTTCATCGGATTTAAGGGTCTTCTGAAGATCTATCTACGCCAAAAGCTCTACATACGCCGTCGTCGTCGCCGCATCGTCGACTATACCGACGAAAATGTAAGAATCTATATGGGCGGCGAAGTACGAGAGGCTCCGCCAGTTCAGGACCCACGTGCCAATCCAAACCCGAATCGTGCCAATCCCAGGCAGAATGCTGGCCATGACCAAAACCCAGATGGATATGCCATTTCCGATTCCAGTTCATTGAACTCATTCGACGGCGATAGTCTCACCACATCCGAAGCCGACGAGGATATCGAGGCCGATAATGGCGAGTTCGGTATTAACCAAAATCAACACGTCGACTACAGGATGCACTATTTGAATGCCGAAGTTAATTTCTATTCGGTGCACTTCCCTCCACAACAGATATTGGGGGGGGAGATGGATATGGATCTAGACTAGTAACTGGACTAGCAGACTTGGTTAAGCAACTCGCCTGGTATAAGCACTGTAAAATTTTCAAGTGGATCATCTTCAATTGGATAGGAGACCTTTAGTTTGTATTTTTGGAGCTGTATTGATGAGGGAGATATATAGAATTGCCGCGAGAATCAAGACGAGGCAAAGCACAGCACCAGCCAAAGATTTAATGTGAAACTAAATTATAATGCGATGCTTTAAAAATTGATAACTATATAAAGCGCCAGGCAATTGCTTTTGTTTACATAATTATTTTTTAATTAGGGGTTTCCGTATTTTGGGGTATGGTTATAGGTTTATTATTGTGACCAGAATCTAAAATGGTACTCGGGTTGTGCCTAAAACGGGTTGGAATTCCTTGATTTCCATTTATTCCTTCAAAAAAAATTATTAATTTTAAAAGTAAAATGCTCTAAATAATTTTAAACTTAAATTTTTATTTTAACATCGAAATAAATAGATAATAATGAACATAACTCTTTGCTTAATTGGCCTTCTTATTTGCGTTCTTGAGAGTTCAGCGCTTTTGTATAAAACAAAGGCCTGGGGCATTGCCTAGTTTCTACCAGCTTCATAACTTTATCATAGCAACAAATATAATGGTTCCCAATCCTATTCGGAATAAACTTTAAATCCTCCATAAAGCTCTCGGCATGATACATCAGTCGATGAAGAAAACGCTTGAAAGTCTCGTAGGTCAATTCCCGGTAGCGGCAACATTCATTATCGTGGTGATGAGCAACACCCAGGCAGTATACCCAGAAGCGTTCTTCAATTTTAATGCTGTTGTAGGCCTCCATAAGTTCCTTTATGGCATTAATGTGGGTGGGGATCACTTGACATTGGTTATAGATCCTGGCCTGACAGTACTTATTGGCCAACCACAAATAACCAAGGACCTAAAAGTATTAAGAAAAATATATTTTGTAAGAAATTTAAAAGATTTTTGGTTTGTAAAAAAAAAAGGGGGAAGGGCCTAGCTAGGCTTGCGTACCAAAATATAAAGTCTTAAAGCATATTTTTAGGCTTTTTTATAAAAATTTTCTTTATAAATAAACGTTTAAATAAAGTAACTTATTTTAGGATTAATTTAAAGTATTTCAAAGATTTAGTAATTTAAGAAGTTAATGAATCAAATATAAAAATATATCATAAAAAATTATTATGACTGTAATAAATGCAACTAATTTTTGAACCCTTTAAATTACAATAAAATTAATTTAAATCTAAAAAAAAAACATTCAAAGGTACATATGAAATTATTAATTCAGAAATAATATCAATATTGCCTCACATACCTTTTCATCTTTCATAATCTCCTTGATAATACTGTTCTCTTTGCGATTGGTCAAAGAAAGTCTTAACCACGGACTAATGTGTGCAAATCGCACACTGCTCATGACGAAGGCTGTGTCCTTCTTTCGCTCCTCCCAGCGGTACTCTAGCCATAAAACTGCTGAGAAAAAAACCTCATCCTCGCTGTTCACACAAATGGTATCCTGAGCGAGCAGGAAGGCCACCTCATTGGCATTAAACTCCAAAAACTCGTGGGAAGCCACCAACGGCAAAAAGGACTTTCTTATCCTAACCATCATCATGGACATCACGTCTTCGCAGTTCTCGGCTCTGGCCAATAAGTAAATATAAAAGGCATTTTGTTCCCATATGCCGGCATCGCCGCTCAAAGAAAATGTAGTCCAATATTGTTGCTCCAAAAAGTCGATTCCCAAAAATTTTGCTGCCTTGTAATATTCTATTAGATGGTCATTGATCTCAATGGTCACATCTTCGGATATCATCCAATCGTAGAGATGTATCAAAAATTCCATCCTCATTTGTATACCCGCAAATTGTAATAAATTGCCCCGACAATCCTCGAACTTCTTAGCAAAACAGGTGAAAATATAACGGTTCACTAGAAAGATTTTGGATTCGACTTGAAGTTCAAGATCGTCGTACCAAAAGTTCTTCACAGACTCCACAAGGAGTTCGGCTGGAGCTGCAAAAAAATATTTCAAATTGTATTTAAAATTAGTATAAAAATATTAAAAATAAGATTCTTTGGTGATGAAGAAAATGGATATTTATCCTTATTGTACTCACAAAGTGCTCTTCCCATACGTTGCATTAGCTGCACAGCCCTACATATCTCCAAATTTTCGTCTTTACGCTTCCAAATTATTTCGTAGTCATGGTAAGTCATTTTGCCTTTTAAGTTTGGACTAAACTCAAACGGCAAGAATGAAACAGTCATCTCTTTGTCTTTAGTTGCATCTGATTTCTTATCTTTTTTTTTGTTTTGAAGTTTAGAGCTGGGAAGAAGCTGGGTCTTATATTCTTCAATATCGAATGCCTTGCACGTGGGGAGATTTAGACGATCTCGCGATATAAAAACTGTATAGTTGAACCAATCATTCAATTTTTTGCCGAACGATTTAATTTCGGGTATCGGCTCACAACGCGGCTTATATCGCAAACTATAATCCATAATTGATTGTTTTGAGGCATGGGATAATGGCGTAAAGCCAGGATCGGCTTCTTTTAGCAAAGCATCGGTCACAGACTTCGGCACTATATTGTTATCAATGTAATTCTGCCAAAACCATTTTGGCGTAAGCAAGGCATCGGGATTTTCTAAAGGCTTTTTGCACCGGTATTAATGGACTTCAAGGGTAGAACATTTGCACTCACCTTTAACTTGGACTGCGCGTCCATGATGAAAATTATTGAAATTTTTTTTTATCCACAATAAAACACGAACCGAGTTCGAGCCGAAATATAAATAGACTTTCCTTAGTCCTAAATTTTGCTTTGAAGCTTTAAAAGAAATTTCAAGGGTCACCAGGTTTCAATAAAGAATAATAGTACTGAAAGGCAAGCTACGTTTATAATTCAGACAAATATCAAATATAATTCAGATGGTGTTAAAAAGGTGGCAAGCTACGAAATGGGCATTTTCTCGCAAAAAAGAGAAAAATCTTGCAAAAATTAGAAAATTATTCTCCTTAACTCTGCATAAAAACTTTAGGAAAAAGGCACACTAAAAATGTATCCTTTTTCGGTCACTTTGCAAAAATTGCTCTGTAAAAAATTCGAAACTTCTTCGACAACTTCTTTTTATCCAGATTTCAATTAAGAATAAAAATACTACAATTTTTAGAACAAGGTAATTTATAAATTAAGCAAAAATGGCCCAAGGTATGAGCCCTGGCAACAATATATTTAAGCACAAATTTCTTCTTTTTACTTTTTTCTTTTTTAGACTGAATCCTAGAAGGCCTTGATATATACATTGATTTGTGAATATGTCAGTCGAACATTAGTAGAACATTATCACACAGCTCGTTCAACGTTTCGGTCGACACATTCTCAAGTCAAGCTGAAACACAAATCGTAAAATCCAGACTAAAATTAAAATTAAAAAATTTCTACTCAGTCTCATTCATTTGCTTTCACCTCTATTTTATATTTGATTTGATAACCCTTTCGATGAAATTCAATTGAAAACATCCAACGCAATCCACTGTCGAATCCAAGCCTCAAAAGTGTTCGCGGCTACGTAAGTAAGAAAATATCAGAAGCTCACCAGACTCCCTCTATAAGAAAAGAAAGTTAATGAATCAAGTAATTATAGCTGAGCGAATCATTTTCTAGATTGTGAAGAATATTTGAATCTTCTTTAAGTTGGAAAACTAAAATCATTAATCAAATCTTACAAGAGGGTAAGACAGCAAAGTTTAGAGATTGAGTTTAAAAGCAAAATTAAGCCACAAACTATTTAAAAATAAATTAAATCGTTAAGAACATAATACTAAACGGGGCGGATCACGAAGCATCAAGTAGGTGGCACATTTTTCCTTTAATAATTAATATTATTAACCATAAAAAAAAATCTTTATAGTTTTACACAAACGGAAGGTGGTAATTGAAATCTATTGTGGCAAAGTAAGATTAGTTCATTATCAAGGCAAATATTTATACAGGTAAGTGATGTTATCTATTTTAATAATAAAATAACTAATGTCCTTTTTATTTTCAGAGGAAAGAGTTTTAGGAATCATCAATCAGCAAGACTTCGAGAGAAAAAATCAAGGAATCAAGTAAGTGGATTTATTTTCTTTTTTTTTAGAAATAAGATATTTTTCTCTATTTTTACTTCTATAAATATTTTTGATGAGTATACATTTTTATTTATTTTTTTTTTTTTTGTATATTGACCTTACATGAGAATATTTTAAGAGGTAGACCTAATTTTTCACAATTTTAATATAAAGTTAAAAGTCATACAGAAATATTAATGTTACTATAGAAAACCATGAGATTGAAAAAAATCATGATATACCCCTGAAAAAATCTATCGTTGCTTTAAATTTCATTTGTCTTCTACTAAAAAAGTCATTTTATTTTTTCGGTTCAGGCATATCTATCAAAATTCTGATCAATATTCTGAAACACCAACCATCTACGTGAAGGGTGATTCAAGGCGCAACATCGAAAGATCACTGGTAAACATTACAATTAGATAGAAGGACTTATCGGAAAGAATACCAGGATGTCGGACAACTCGGCTGTTAGCTGCGTTCTCAATGTTCTGCTGTGCGGAGCCACCGGCTTCGGCTTCGTCAAGATCGGCTCACCGGCGGAGCATCCGTATGCGTTCAGCGCCTGTGTGATTGGCTTCTGCCATGGCCTTTTCGGTCTGGTGGAGTTTGCCGCCGGCAGTGACACCACCAAGAGCATGAAGGAGACCACCACCTCGGTGATGGAAATTGTGCCACTGCCCCTGGTGAACGTTGATCTGTATCTGGGGGCCGAGAGCAACAACATTGCTCTAGGCCACGGCCTTTTCATTGTGCCGTTGGCCGTCAGCGTTATCCTGGGCATGGTCAAGGGCGGCGAGGATGGCGGCGAAGATGGCGGTCCAATGGCCACCCTAAAGACCCTAACCATTTTGGGCAACATCACGTCGCTGCTGTACTTGGCCATAAACGAGAGCAGCTTGAATCTGGCCGGCATGGCCTACTTGGCTTTCATGGCCAAGTTTGGCGCCCAGTTCTGTGAGGAGAACGTTAGCGAGGGATGCGGCGAGCCCATTACCTATGTCAGCTGGTCAGGATTCTTTGTCCTGGCCGCTATGGCTCTCTCTGGCGAGAAGTAGAACTACCCACCTCAAGGAATACAAAGCATAATGGAATGGACGCCCCTTTGAATGGATTTATTTAAAAAAAAAACAGGATTCAATCATACATTTTTTTGAAGCCACCTACAATATCCTACAGCTATATAATCCCATTCATTTGTCCAATATTTCTCGGAATACATAATTTTCTTATTGGACCCAAACCTCAATCGACCTTGGACGAGCACAGAGTGATGAAAAAATTATTGGAGTATTAGATGATCAGCTTAAAAATTATGTCAAAATCTGCAAGTGTCGTTAATTCAAGTACATTGAGAACAAAAAAAAAATTAAGAGATTTGTGGTTTTTATATTAGTGGCTGGTCTTAATATTTGGTTGGTCTTAAAAACGCACTGCCCTCAATAACCACCTTCTTTTAGAACCCTCAGTTTGTTTACCTTTGCGTCACCTTTCCCAACATGCGCTCTGGCTACCACCTTCTTTTGTTGCACTACACCTGACCTCTCTCAGCATCTGCCCTCACTAACCACCTTCTATTACTTTCCCCGTCACAAATTGCATTTAAGTCCTAAGCTCTCTCTCTCTATAATTCAGTATGAGAACCCTCAGTTTGTTTACCTTTGCGTCACCTTAACTTTTCTCACCACGTTTCCCAGCATCCGCTCAGGCTAACCACCTTCTTTTACTGACTGACGTCACCTTATTTTTCTCACCACGTTTCCCAGCATCCGCTCAGGCTAACCACCTTCTTTTACTGACGCTGTGATCATGAATTGAATGCTAATCCTAAGCCCTCTCTGATTAAGGTGTTTCCTATTTCCATCAAAAATAATTAATTAAATATAAAATTAAATTTACCGTTTGTGAAAACCTGCTAGAAATATGATAGGATTTTTTAAAAAACTTAAAAATAATTGAAAGCTGAAGAATACCCTGTTCACCTTTGAGTCACCTTCTTTTACTCAGCCACCTTTCTCACCACCCGCTCTCACTAACCACCTTATTTTCCTTTCCCCATGATCAGTGCCAATGTTATTGTGAGCTCTCTCATTGGCGTTTCCGATTTCTGCTTTGTGTTTATTAATCAAATTTTAAAGTGACTTTAGATAAAGTGAATTAAATAAAGTATCATTGCCTAAGAAGTGTTTTTTAATTCGAATTTCATTTGAAGATGCCTCCCGTTGTGGCACCTCTCATATCCAGCACATGTCCCTCCTGAGCGTCTTTTCTCTCGAACGGAGTCCCACACGTAAAGTGCCGTTAACCGAATAATGCATACATCATGCACATACTTTACATGTGTAAGAATGCATGTAATATTACACATATTTTACATAATTGGTAAGTGTTTTATCTTACATTCTACATTTTAATACTTTTTGGTTATTAGCCAATATATTGTTTAAATTCCTTAGATATAAACCTATTTAAAATAATTTAAAAGACCCTTAATAAACTTTTTAAGAACATAAAAGTCGAAAATTTTCGGGTAAACTCCCTGTAACAAAACAAAAAAAGAGAAAGACAAAAATAGATCACTTTTAATTGTCACTAATTTAATTGTTATGGCATTGCATTTCATTGGAATTGATACGTTTGTGGTTTGGGTATTAAGTAACCAAAATCTTGTTTACCACGCCCAGGGTTTTATAGAGTTTTATATATACCCCCACTACCAATTCCGAACCCTACCCCAAAAAAAAAACCATAATAACCCTACGCCAAACCGTTGACAATAAGAACTAATAAATTTTAAGACGTAATGTCAACAAATCGCCGGTAAGTAGGGGCACGCACAATTCCAAAAACAGTGAAGCTTGGCTACCAGAGCAGCCCCCTGATCTGACACCGCCTCCCCCCCCACCCCCGCAGAAGCGTGCTCAATGAGCATGACACTACCAAAAAAAAAATTAAGAGTTGTCTTGTGTCTTGTTCATTGTTATTTTTATGACTTAGTGGCAATGGGTTTTATTTTTTTTTGTTTTGGGGTGGGGTTTTGAACCCAAAAGTTACGTGCTAATTTCTGAGTGAAGAAAACGAAACTGAAATCGAAACTGAGAGACCAAAAGCCAACAAAATAAAACGAGAACTGGTTGTTACAGAAATATTTATGTTATCGCTGGTAATTGGCTGGCATTGTCTATTTTTCTTTCGCTTTTCCTACAAACTCCAAAAGTCGTGGCATTGGCCGGGTATTAGAGATCAGGGACTATAGGTGTTTCTTTATTTATCTATTTTTTTTCTTCTATTTTTCTATTTCTCCATAAGGTATAGCATAGCTTTGCCACTCAGCTGATCAGCCGAGACATCCGCTTTTAAGAATCAAATTGTTTTGGAAAGTTGGGGTAAACTTTATGAAAAACGTAAAATATGTTTTAAATTTTCTGTCCAATTTTCTCGATAAGATCCCTTGGGGTTTTTCCCAATAGGATCCATCAGGTTGTCCATATCTTCCCCAATTCTTATCCATTTCTCAAGCGGAGTACCTTAAACGATTTTATGATCGATTTGCCACCATTCTGCATCAAAATCCTGATACAAAATATTTTTTAGATTTTTTGTCCATTTTTCCTGATGGGAGCCCCTAAAAATGCGGTTTTCCCCTATGGGGTTCACTGCGATATCCATATCTTCCCCAATTCTTATCCATTTCTCAAGCGGAGTACTTAAAACGATTTCTGGATCGATTTGCCACCATTCTGCATCAAAATCCCGAGAAAAAATATTTTTTAGATTTTTTGTCCATTTTTCCTGATGGGATCCCTTGAAATGCGGTTTTCCCCTATGGGGACTACTGCGACGTCCATATCTTCCCCAATTCTTATCCGATTCTCAAGCGGAGTACCTTAAACGATTTCTGGATCGATTTGCCACCATTCTGCATCTAAATCCTGATACGAAATATTTTTTAGATTTTTTGTCCATTTTTCCTGATGGGAGCCCCTAAAAATGCGGTTTTCCCCTATGGGGACCACTGCGACGTCCATATCTTCCCCAATTCTTATCCGATTCTCAAGCGGAGTACCTTAAACGATTTCTGGATCGATTTGCCACCATTCTGCATCTAAATCCTGATACGAAATATTTTTTTGATTTTTTGTCCATTTTTCCTGATGGGATCCCTTGAAATGCGGTTTTCCCCTATGGGGTCCACTGAGATATCCATATCTTCTTCAATTCTTATCCGATTCTCAAGCGGAGTACCTTAAACGATTTCTGGATCGAATTGCCACCATTCTGCATCAAAATCCTGATACGAAATACGAGATACGATTTTTTACATTTTTTGTCCATTTTTCCTGATGGGAGCGCCTAAAAATGCGGTTTTCCCCTATGGGGACCACTGCGACGTCCATATCTTCCCCAATTCTCATCCGATTCTCAAGCGGAGTACCTTAAACGATTTCTGAATCGATTTGCCACCATTCTGCATCAAAATCCTGATACGAAATATTTTTTAGATTTTTTGTCCATTTTTCCTGATGGGATCCCTTGAAATGCGGTTTTCCCCTATGGGGTCCACTGCGATATCCATATCTTCCCCAATTCTTATCCGATTCTCAAGCGGAGTACCTTAAACGATTTCTGGATCGATTTGCCACCATTCTGCATCAAAATCCTGATACGAAATATTTTTTAGATTTTTTTTTCCATTTTTGCTGATGGGAGCCCCTGAAAATGCGGTTTTCCCCTATGGGGACCACCGCGACGTCCATATCTTCCCCAATTCTCATCCGATTCTCAAGCGGAGTACTTCAAACGATTTCTGAATCGATTTGCCACCATTCTGCATCAAAATCCTGATACGAAATATTTTTTAGATTTTTTGCGGTTTTCCCCTATGGGGTCCAATGCGATATCCATATCTTCCCCAATTCTTATCCGATTCTCAAGCGGAGTACCTTAAACGATTTCTGAATTGATTTGCCACCATTCTGCATCAAAATCCTGATACGAAATATTTTTAGATTTTTTGTCCATTTTTCCTGATGGGATCCCTTGAAATGCGGTTTTCCCCTATGGGGTCCAATGCGATATCCATATCTTCCCCAATTCTTATCCGATTCTCAAGCGGAGTACCTTAAACGATTTCTGAATCGATTTGCCACCATTCTGCATCAAAATCCTGATACGAAATATTTTTTAGATTTTTTGTCCATTTTTCCTGATGGGATCCCTTGAAATGCGGTTTTCCCCTATGGGGTCCACTGCGATATCCATATCTTCCCCAATTCTTATCCGATTCTCAAGCGGAGTACCTTAAACGATTTCTGGACCGAATTGCCACCATTCTGCATCAAAATCCTGATACGAAATATTTTTTAGATTTTTTGTCCATTTTTCCTGATGGGATCCCTTGAAATGCGGTTTTCCCCTATGGGGTCCAATGCGATATCCATATCTTCCCCAATTCTTATCCGATTCTCAAGCGGAGTACCTTAAACGATTTCTGAATCGATTTGCCACCATTCTGCATCAAAATCCTGATACGAAATATTTTTTAGATTTTTTGTCCATTTTTCCTGATGGGATCCCTTGAAATGCTGTTTTCCCCTATGGGGTCCAATGCGATATCCATATCTTCCCCAATTCTTATCCGATTCTCAAGCGGAGTACCTTAAACGATTTCTGAATCGATTTGCCACCATTCTGCATCAAAATCCTGATACGAAATATTTTTTAGATTTTTTGCGGTTTTCCCCTATGGGGTCCAATGCGATATCCATATCTTCCCCAATTCTTATCCGATTCTCAAGCGGAGTACCTTAAACTATTTCTGAATCGATTTGCCACCATTCTGCATCAAAATCCTGATACGAAATATTTTTTAGATTTTTTGTCCATTTTTCCTGATGGGATCCCTTGAAATGCGGTTTTCCCCTATGGGGTCCATATCTTCCCCAATTCTTATCTGATTCTCAAGCGGAGTACCTTAAACGATTTTATGATTGATTTGCCACCATTCTGCATCAAAATCCTGTTACAAAATATTTTTTAGATTTTTTGTCCATTTTTCCTGATGGGATCCCTTGAAATGCGGTTTTCCCCTATGGGGTCCAATGCGATATCCATATCTTCCCCAATTCTTATCCGATTCTCAAGCGGAGTACCTTAAACGATTTCTCAATCGATTTGCCACCATTCTGCATCAAAATCCTGATACGAAATATTTTTTAGATTTTTTGTCCATTTTTCCTGATGGGATCCCTTGAAATGCGGTTTTCCCCTATGGGGTCCAATGCGATATCCATATCTTCCCCAATTCTTATCCGATTCTCAAGCGGAGTACCTTAAACGATTTCTCAATCGATTTGCCACCATTCTGCATCAAAA